GTTTGAAATTTCAGCATTTTAAAGCATTTGCATAATCTTCTCCTGTACTAAATTCAACCCACTTGTCCATTGTGGTTCTGAGAGGTTTGGGGCTTGGTTTTTTTTTTTTCTTTTTTCCTTTTAAATTGGAATTTCTGTTGGGAATGCTACGCAGCAGGCAGGTTCTCACAGTCTTTCTTGAGTCTTTTGAACAACTGTGCTTCTGGATTTAGCTCAGGGTGAAAAATCCCCTGAGCTGCTGTGTGCGGAGTTGAGAAGCCTCGCCCTGAGCGGGCGTACCAAGAATGCTGACGCATGTTCTTTGAACTCATCTGTTACATGCGTGTGCATCCCCTAAGCAGAGATTGGTCTCTAGCCAATTGAGCCTTAACTTCTGAGGAAGGAAAGTGCTGGAAAAAGATACTTCCAGGAATGAGTTTTAGCTGCTCCTGCCCTTGAAGAAGCCCCTTGCCTTGTTCCATCTGTATTGCTATTTGTGAAAGACCGACTGCCCTCATATGGCATCTGCGTACTATTAGGCACCTCTCTAATCCATTCAGCAGCTGATTACTCTGCCTGAAGGCAGTCTCTGCTGATTTCTTCCCTCTCCTTTTTCCTGTTCTCTTTGCATTCAAACTTTGCGTGCCTTTTTATTTTTAGTTTGAGCTTTGGCCTCTGGTATGACCTCTTCACGTGTGACTTGCCTCTTCTGTCTCTCTCTGGCTCCAGTTCTTGCACTTCTTTCACTACCCACATTTTTTTTATTAACTAGAAGAACTGGTCTCAGCTAGTCCTGCCTAGGTGATCTGTCATTATGAGTAAGGTTTACAGAGCAGACAGTTCTATCTGAACTGTTTGCACTGACACTTGGCATGCGTTCCACAGACCTCAAAGCCGCACACAAAGAGCCAGTTGCGTGCAGCGTGTATTCTAAATCCATTTGATCAATAGCTCTGCAGAGTAATAGGGAGTTCAGTCCACAAAGTTACGTAGGACAGGATTCAGAAAACCCTGTACCTTGCTCAAACTGCTGGGCAAACATGCCCTGGCAATTTGCAGCTTCAATAAGCAACTGCCTACTGCAGCAGCAGTTTGGTCTGGTAAAATGTACAAGCCTTTCTGTTCTCGTGGTATTTGAGCCCTGTCATCTGTTTGATTGCAGAGAAGACGCAGAGGCACCCAAGGCTCATCTCGTCAAGCCCAGTTCTTCTTCCTCTGGTTCCAGGAGCTCGCGCTCAGGTTCCTCCTCAACCAGGTCGACAGCCAACAGTGCCTCTCGCAGCCAACGGACTTTATCAACAGAAGCTACTCCCCATCTAACTCCTCCTCAGTACAGCCAGAGGGAGACAGAAGGAAAAGAAATTGAGCCAAAGAAAGTTGACTACACCAACCTGATGAAAATGGGAGCGACGCTGGTCATGGTGCCTGCCCAAAGCCGAGCGTTCCAGACCGTGTGACTGCTCGCCAGCTGTCTGGAGACTCCTGCTGTCCAGAAACACTTCACATAACACCAGCCACATAGGAATTGTTAGATTAGCTAGTTATCTTCCTGGTCAGCTTCATTTTAATCACTTGTGATTTTTCACACCACAAGAAGCCCTCCCACTCAACTTTCTTATATCTTCCAGCACTGAGGTTCTGATACAGAATTTTTTTTTTTTTCTTAAGAAAGATACATTTGAGGGAAAAGGGAGCCTTCTTTTTAAATTATCTTTTTTTGGAAATGGAACACTGAGCATTTTAAAACTACAACAGCTAAGCGCTGTACAAATGAAATGAAGCCAAACCTCAGGATTTTTTAAAAGGGATCAACAGAGACATAAAGAAGCATAGTACACCAGAGAGGTTTTGTGGGGAGGGAAAAAGTCTCCTGTACCGGTTTTGCAGAACTTTCTCAAAGATGCATTGTCTTATGTGAAGATTTTGAGGCAGACTCTCTGCTGAGGGTAGTCTGGTGTTCAACCTCAAAGGGAACTGACAGACGCTTCACCTTTTCTGCGTTCAGTCTTCTAGTGAAATACTTTTGGAGGCTGTCACTGAAGTGGAAATGAAAGGATCACTCAAAAAGGTCAAGAGATGTGGTATTAAGGCATGTGTCTGAACTAACCTCTGCACTAAAGAGAAAGGACCCTTTATGTCACGGAAACAGAGGTGCTTTAATTGCTAGAATAACCTTAATGATGCACCCACAGAGATACGCCCAGGAGCCTGACTCTGCTTTTGTGGTCAGCACTGCAAAGCCGCAGTGACTCCACTGGAGGGGTACCTGTGGCAAATGAGCCTTAGTGTGATGAGAATTGGGCACTGAATCCAGAATGAAGGCGGTACCTCAAACGTGAGGGCCACTAATCTACCAAAAAGCCTGGACGAAGCATTTGGAAGATATCTTTGCTATCACCAGGCTGTGAATTCGCCAGTTTTGGGGTGAGCCATGCTGTAGAAGCCTTATGGAGAGCTCTTCCCAAGACTGAACGAACAGCATTCTTGAGCTGACCTTCAGGCATCCAGGTAAGACTGAAAGATAGAGTGACAGAGCCCGTAGCGAGGAAAATACACCAGGGACAGGTAAACAACCACAGTGCTGCTTCCATTAAAAAACATTTGTGTGCAATGTCCCATTTATACACCAAATGCTGGGCCACATGCTGTTGTTGAGGCTTAAACCTTAGCATGACTCTTAAAGAACTGCAAGAATCATAAAAATATTTTCTGTGAATAAATGAGCCAGAATAAACGTTTCCAAGGAATAAAGTCTTACACTTCAAGTTGAAGGCCGATAGGAAATGATGGGAGATGGGGACAGGCTTCCTCTGGAGGCAGACGCTTGCATAATTGTCATTTATATTTTCCTCTGAAGGACTTTGACCACTGCTACACAAAAGACACTGAGCTTGTCGGTTCTAGATTCCTGTATTCCTGGACTGATGATTTTCTAATTAAAAAAAAATGAGGGGGTGGGGTTTTTTTGGGTTTTTTTCATTTGAGGGAGGGAAGGTTTTCTCCAATTTGTGGAATGAGTCTACAGGAGATGGATCAGCCCAGAAGAACCACAAATCTATAATTCTTTCACTCCAGGGACTGTAACTAATGTCCTTTTCTGACCGAGACCCAGAATTCTAACTTCTAGCTTGAGCTCTTAGACAACCTTGGGCTACTTTCTTATGGGAAATAGTTTTCAAACTTGCCCTATACTATCTGAGAACTTCTCTTCCTAGGAGCAGTCACCCATTTTCATCACGCGTACCAAAATTTCACTTGCTCTCTTCTACCCCAGAGCCAACCTGGCCACCCTTGGCAGGACCAAGTACCGATCTGTTGTGCAGGGAAGGTGGTCTTGAGTCACAGGTTTAAACAAAGGAGACATCTGGTGTATTAGGTGTTTGATAACACCTGCTCCTGCGGGGGGGTTGGACTAGATGACCTCTAGGGGTCCCTTCCAACCCAAAACATTCTATGATTCTATGATAAGCTGCTTCTGTGACAGCTCCTGCTGTTGGCTACTGTGTCATTTTGCCTAGACAGTTTCCCTGGGTGCTCCAGAGGCATGTTCCTGGATCAGTTATGTTTTGGTGGATTTGGTAGTGGCTGTCACTGCTTGGGAACAGCAGCTGTGTCTGTGATTCCTCTGCAGTTGCTCTTTTCCTGGACCCTGATGCCTCCGGCACTCCAAAGCACTTACAAGGCACTCCAGAGCCGGGAAAGTCCCACAGAGCACAAGCAGGACTGCTGAAGCAGTTTGTGGCTGCTTCTATGGTGGCTTAGAATACATGCCCGAGCAACCAGAAGCTTATTACCACAAATAAAGGTAACAATTCAAACAGTTGAGCTGGCTACAGTCCGAGTACCAAATGCCGTAGGTGAGCTTTGAGTCACAGGCCAGACTTGCAATTAGCAAAGAGGAGGATGCTCTTGTCTACAGCCTAGGGGCCACTTGCTGCTGGCTAGGAGAATCTGCCCAGCCTGCTCCTGGCAGACTCTCTCCTGGAGGCCTTTGGGAACAGGCTGCAGGACAGATCAGCTGTGGCAGCCCTCTCCTGGTCTCCAACTCTCCTGAGCAGAGAAGTCCCTCCTTGTCCTATGAGCTATCTGTCTGATTTACAGGAAGAAAGGGTTGTGGACCTTGGGGAAGGGAATTTAGTCGGAAGCGATCGCTGAAGCCTGGCGTGTGTTCCCGACTGCCTGTTGGGAAGCAGGCGCAGAACGCGTGCTCGCTGTCCCACCACGTGCAGACTGCCCTGTATACAGACTGCGTCAAAAAAGCACCGTGGCCATCCGCCACGGAACGAAGATGCAAAGATGTGCGGCCCTGGTTAGAAAGCGCGGGCACTGCGGTGATTTAAAATCACTAAGTCTGAAAGGCTGCGGTGCTTTTCAGACCACGCATCAATGAATCTCACAGGTGAATACAAAGTCAATTCCGCACTTCAGTCACTAGCATGAAGCCCAAAGGGAAATGTTCATTATTCAAATGAAAGACGAGAAAGATCATTTCAATGGTATTCTGTTTTCGAAGGGAAATTTTCGGAGCTCTGGATGATGCTCTCAGCAGTTGCACAAGGGAAGCAAATGAACCATAAGCCAAACTTGATTTTGTAAAATAGTGTACTTAAAGCATTTACTGTCATATACCAGTTATTACTCGTGTGATTAAATGCATACAATATTATGTAGCTTTCTTTTGTTTCTCAGCAGCTAAACTAAGCTTACATCTCTTCTACCTGCTATAATTGGTGTACTTGTACTGTGTCTGAACAACTCAGAGGAAAGCAAATATTTATTACTGATTCCTTTGAATCAATGATTTCGTAATTTTTTTTGTTTGGTTGTTTTATAAATAAATGTGCTGCAGCCTAAGTGCTTCAGCTCAACTAAACTTGTACTAATGCTCCATCTTCTGTGGTGTGATGTGTTGCATGCTGTCAAGTTGAATCCAAGGGGAAAAAAAAGTACGGAGTCAAAAATACCATTTTTAAGCTAACGAGGACAGTGCATATTTGTGTAGAAAGTGGGGGGGAAGCTGGTCTTTTTCCTGGGTATTTTTTTCAGTCTAAATCATGAGGCATGGTATGAAATATGTGAAGCTTTGGGTGCATTGAAGTAAATGGTGTTTTGACTTCCGTGCAGCTCTTTTGCCTGAGGTATTTCGGCTGAGGATGATCTAGATGCTTCAAGCTAATATGGTACGTATGTAGTGCCAGCGCAGACACACACTCTGGTGACACTGCCCTCCCACTCCCGCATCTGCCACCCAACTTCTGAACCACCGGTGCCTTTCGGTTCATCTCCTGAACTGGGCGGGAGGTGATAATGAAACCTTGAACAACTAGGAGCTGTGTTCAGACAGCGTAGATCGTCTCTGCAAATAAACATTTTGAACTGGCTAACAGGAATCTCCGGTCAGGGAGATGTAGGTGGAATTTAGGGTAACTTAACAGTGGTTGATTTCTCTTGCAGTGCTTCAGCCTTCTTTCCCCTGGGGGTGTTTTGCGCAGAGGTCTCCCAACATCAGCAATCTTCTTTACTGAAATCTGGGAGTAAAAATTGCAACATAATTACGCAGTATTTAGAACAAAACACAGTGACAACACAGTGGTCTCATAGGTGTGTCCTCCTGTCTATGCCTGATTCATGAGGAAACGCTGTTACTGGCTCCCTCCTGAGTTGATGACATCCAAAATCCTGATTAGGCGATACACGTTTTAAGAGGAATTGTGCAATTGCATACTTTTGCACAATACCAGGAATCTTGGATTATTTTAAACCTGGATGAGATTTGTACGGACACACTGAAGGGGGAGAACATGATGGGAAAGGGACCGCTTTGGAAGCCTGTGATTTTCAAACTTCAACCAGGGCGTGCAGATGCAAATGTCGTATAAAATAACAAATGCTGCTGCTGTGAATAGGAAGGGTGTCTCTGATAATCTCTACTCTCTTCCCAGTTCTCTTTTAAATGCTTAAAGGAGAAGCAGGGCTTGATCTCTAATGTACTAAATTAGCTTCCAAAGATAACGTTGGAATTCATCATTTAAAAAACCCTCCACGCAGAACACTTCAGAGTGTCCAGCCTGCTGATTTTTCTGATACACCGAAAATGAGCTACTCGTGTCCAGCCTGTTAACAGCCTTTAATTTCTAATGTAATGAGTCATTTGCCAAGCTGCCCCCCTCCCTGCACTGACTCACTGTTGTTTTAGGCTGCCTTTGCTTGCTATCAGTCTGCTGTGCAAAGTACGGTTGCACATCTAAACGTCCCTGTTTAATTTCAAGGTGCAGGCAGTGCTATTCTTAGGTCCTACTGAAATTCTGCCCATGATTCAAAAAAAAACAAAAGAAAAAAGCAAAGGCAATCCCTTGCTAGGAGCACGGCTCCCACGAGACTTGGTACTGTGCAATGCCTTCAGGGCAAGTTAAGCTCTGCTTGCCTGCGAAGCATCTCCTGTGTAGCTTGGGAGTTGAGAGCTCCAGCAGCCCGTACTCTGGACTGGGTAGAGTGTGCTCTGTGTACCGTTCCTCATCAGATACGGGGTGATGGTTTGTACTGACTGCCCTTATCTTTAAAGGCACAGGAGAGTGACAGCTGAGACTGAGCCCCTTTCCTGTTCCTGCTGCACCTCCTCTCTCTAACCTTGTCTACCCAAGTTCCAACTCCAACCTACACCATCGCCCAAATGTCTCGATTCAGGTTCCAGCCCTCCAAGTGGCCACAAACGCTCCACAGGAACCACAAACCGTGACTTCCCATGGGGGAGCACACCCACCGCGTCTGCCGGAGGAGCCTGCTGGCACCAGCGATGCTGTTTCATGCAGCTCTTACCCCCAGCTATAGAAGTTCCTTTGCCCCTTTTTGCACCGCGTAGGGTGGCAGAGGCTGGCCGGGATATGGGTTCTGCGCAGCCCTCCTCCTAGAAACCCCCTCTGACTTTCCCACTCGGCGTTTTATGCCGTGCAAACAGTTGATGCCATTTGCAGCGCTGCTGTGGGGGCCTGGCCTGATGTGGTTTATGACCTCTGAGCAGCTTGCAGCGCCGAAACCGGCTGAAGGGTCGCAGTCGTCCGTCTGCTTGCTGAACGGCCACAGTTTTCCACCCCTCGGAGCCTCCGCTCCCTTGGTGACCGCGCGTCGCACTGCCCCTTAGCTTGGTTTGGTGCATTAGAATCATGGACTGGTTTGGGTGGGAAGGGACCCCCAGAGGTCACCCAGCCCAACCCCCCTGCAGGAGCAGGGACCCCTTGAACCACATCAGGTTGCTCACAGCCCCATCCAACCTGGCCTGGAATGGTCCCAGGGATGGGGCCTCCACCCCCTCTCGGGGCAACCCCTGCCAGGGTTTCACCACCCTCACTGCAAAGAA